GCCAGTGGCTCGGCCTCCACCCATTTGGTGAAATAATCTATCCCAACAATGATGAACTTGTTGTTCCCAGGGGCAGTAGGTAGGGGACTTAGCAGGTCGATCCCCCACCCAGCGAATGGGAGGGCCACCATCATTGGAGTGTAGAAAGTGGCTGGCCGTCCGGGGACCGGTGCGTATAGCTGGCATACTTTACACTTTCTAGTATGCGCAAAGCAGTCTTGTTGGATGGTTGGCCAATAATACCATTACAGAATGATTTTTCTGGCCAGTGTCTTGGGCCCTTGGTGGCTTGAGCAGATGCCTTCATGGATTTCTTCCATTACCGCCGCCGCTAGATCGGGTGGAAGACATTTCAAATATGGCCCCCCAAACGTCTTTTTGTACAACTGTCCGTCCACTAGCTCGAACATGGAAGCCCTCCTCTGAATGCACTTTATCTGATAAGCGGGATTCTTGTCCTGTGGGAGGGTTCCGTCTTTTAGGTAGTTGGTCATATCTATGACCCAACTGAGGACGGCATAAGATATGGCCTCGATCTGGAGCACCATGATTGCTGGGGTTGCCAAGGTTTCCCGATGGGCAACCCGTTGGATATGAGCTGAAATCTCCTGTGCCCGATCGTCGAGCGCTGCATTTTCCAATTTGGATAAGATGTCTGCTTTGGTATTTTCTATTCTAGATATTTGGTCGAGCACCACCTGTTCAAATTTGTTTATCCGTTCCTCGACTAGCTCTTTGTAAGCCTTCATTCTTTCCTCTTTAGCCTCAGCTGTGCCATTTACCTGGTTGACCACCAATTGACTATCCAACCGGACTTTTAACCGATCGGCACCCAGGGTCTTCGCATATTTTAAACCTGCAATAAGGGCCTCATACTCGGCCTCATTGTTGGTTACTTTGAAGTCAAAATGAATGGAGTAATATGCTTTGAACCCTTCGGGCGATGTGATCACAGCTCCGGCTCCACAACCCTTGGCACTAGATGCACCATCCACATACATCTCCCACCAGTTATCCAACACATTGTTCTCTGAATCTATTTCCGAAGGCCGAGCGGTACATTCTGCAATCAAATCCGCCAGGGCCTACCCTTTGATAGTAGGTCGAGGCCTGAAATCCACCTCATATTGCCCGATAAGGAGACTCCACTTTGTAATGCGCCCACTTGCCATTGGGTTTCTCAAGATGGTGGCGAGTGGCTGAGTAGTATACACAGTTACCGGATGGGCCTGGAAATATAGTGCCAGACGTTTAATAGCAACTATCAGGGCCAGTACTGTTTTCTCCAGTAGGGCGTACCTGGTTTCCGGCCCGTTCAAAGCCTTGCTCACAAAATAGATCGGCCGCTGGATGCCATCCTCTTCTTTCAATAATACCGTGCTCACGGCCAGGTCAGCTACAACAAGGTACATATACAGGTGTTCCCCTGGATCGGGTTTTGTCAAGACCAGGGGAGAAGATAGGTATGCCTTGAAATCTTCAAAGGCCGTTTGACATTCGGCGGTCCATTCAAAGGGGTTGGTTTTTTTCATGATCTGGAAGAATGGAATAGCTCGATCGGCTAGCTTGGATAGGAATCTGCTCAGAGCTGCTAACCGACCGGTCAATCTCTGCACCTCCTTGATATTTCTAGGAGCTTCCATATCCCCAATTGCCTTTACCTTCTCAGGATTAGGCTCAATCCCCTTCTCGCTCATCATGTATCCCAAAAACTTGCCCCCTCTCATAGCAAAGGCACATTTTTTGGGATTCAGCTTCATGTTTGCTTTCTGCATTATCCCGAACACCTTTTCTATGTCCAGGATATGATTCTCCTTCTTCCGGCTCTTGATCAGGATATCATCAACATAAGCCTCCATTGTTACTCCCAACACCTCTTTGAAGAGCATCCTGATCATCCTTTGAAAAGTAACCATTGCGTTCTTTAACCCGAATGGCATGACAATATAGCAAAACACACCATCCGAAGTAACGAACGCTGTTTTCTCTGCATCGTCTGGGTGCATGAAAATCTGATGATATCCCAAGAATGCATCCATGAAGCTCAACAATTCACACCCGGCCGTTTCATCCACTAACAAATCGATCCTCGGCACCGGATAAGGGTCCATGGGACAAGCTTTATACAGATCCGAGTAATCCACGCACATCCTCCAAGTCGATTATTTTGGGGCTAGGACCACATTGGATAGCCATTCGACATGGTTACCAGACGGATGTGTTTTATTCTCAGCAAGGTGGCCACTTCATGCTTTGTGAAATCCTGCCGTTCGGTCGCTTGGTATCGTTTCTTTTGTTAGACCGGTTTTGCGTTAGGCCGAACGGCAAGCTTGTGACAGATTATCTCCGGGTCAATTCCCGGCATATCTTCCGGCCCTCGGGCGAATAATACCTGAAACTTTTTTAGGACGACAATCATGCCATCCCGAACATCAATCTCCAGATCCACCCCGATAGCTACCTTTCGGTTGGGGGGAGAGTCCAGGTCAATTTGCTCGAGGGGAGTGGCAGGTTCTGGATGCGCCTCGAACTCCGTTCGGCGGGTCTCCACCTCAATACTGTTAACCCGCATTCCACGGGTATTCATCTGCTTCAAGGCCTCTCGGTAGCACGTTCGGGTTGTCGCCGGATCAGTTCTGGCCACCCCAACCCCAGTGTCCGTGGGGAATTTGATGCACGAGTGGCGGACAGAGGCTGTTGCCTCCAGATCTTCCAATCCCGGTCGGCCCAAGATAGCGTTATGGGCACATTTTATGTCCACCACCACGAACGTCATTCGGACCGATGCCTTGTGCGTTTCGTCCCCAATTTCAACTAACAATTGAACGGTCCCCTCAGCCTCAATACAGTTACCGGTGAAGCTTTCCAGCGGGGTTCTTAGGTGGGTCAGTTGACTTCTGTGTAGGCCCATTTTCTCGAACGATTGTAAATACAATACGTTCACACTGCTCCCTGTATCGATCAATACCCGGCGAAGCAAAGCATTGTCAATGCACATGCTCACCACCAATTCATCCATGTGCGGACTTGGCGAGTTAGGTAAATCAGCCGGCCCAAATGTGATTGGGTCCGTCCTTCCTTTCTTCTGCGGGGGGGGGGGGGGGGGGGGGGGGTGGAGATCGATCCTACATAAAGACTTCGCTCGAACCTTTTCCGTTCGGCGTTCGAATCCCCTGTTTCCCCGCCCCCAAATATAACTTTAACCTCCATTCGATGTTTCTTTCCGGGGCCTCCTGAACCCTCTGGTTCATCTCTGGGAGGAATATATACGTTATTCTGGGGCTAGGCATCACGTTGGGCATCTCGTCGCCAGCTGTTGGGTCTCCTGACCGGCTTTAAAGTGCCTACCGCATTCGGGTCTTTACTTACGTACTTGCCCAGATGACCCCGCCGGATCAAGTCCTTAATGGCCGTTTGTAGTGCCCTACAAGCATTAGTGGCGTGACCTTTCCTGTTATGATATTTACAAAAAGCAGATTCATCTGCTCCCATATAATTTGAAGAATCAGTCAGAAGGGGAATGTTGTCCTTCTCGTTCTGATAAATGGTTGCCACAGACAGGACCAGGGGGGTAAATCGCCCTTGCTTAGGAGGGAGAGCGGCCGCTGGGTTAGGACCCAGCCGATCGGCCATCTTGATTGGGGCAGAAGGCGCAACGACCTTGTCCTTGATCATAATCTCTTCCTCCAGGGCAGCATGCTTGCGGGCTCTGTCTAACACCTCGGCATACGCCGTACCCGGATTCTTCTTCAAATCCTTGTATAATTCTCCCGTTCGGAGAGCGTTAGCGAATAGGGTGATGGCGGTGTCATCCGTCATGTTTCCGACCGTCAGAGTTTCGTCCCTCCATCTTTTCAAGAATTGATTGAGGGTCTCCTTGGAGTTCTGCTTTACGCTAGTCAGGTTGGCACTGGAGGCAAATTGGGCCAAGAACAACGTTGATAGTTCGGCAAAGCTGCTGATCGACCCAGGTTGCAGGGTCCCGAACCATTCTTGAGCGGGTCCTCTGAGCGTAATGAAGAACAATCGGCAGATGGCAGCCTCGGGCGCTCCTAGTAGCATGAGTCCTCCTTGATAACTCCTCAAATGGACCTGGGGATCGCCGACCCCATCATATATCTGACCGGTCGGTGGTTTGGCACCCCCTGGATATCCGCATACATAATTTCCTGGGTGAAAGGGAAAGTGATCCCTAGCTGGATCGGAGCAGGTTGTACGGGCACCCTATTCATCTGATCTCTTATTTCATTCATCTGCCTCCTCATTTCGGCCATTTCTTCCTCTTGGGCCGTCAAAGGGGGCGGTGGTGGAGTCCTCAAATCTGCATACTCCCGATCCCAGCGCCTCTGCGTGGCCCTAGTATAATCCCGTTCGTCGTGCTGGAAATGACGACCAATAGGAGTAGGTCCCCTGACTTGTGATCCGATCGGGGTCCGGTCACTGGGAATACGATGCCCTGCTGTTTGAGCGCCACGTCGATTATCCCGATGGGCCCGTGAGTGGGATGACGTCGTGACTGTTTCTGTGTGGGGAGTCTCCCCTGTGAAATTGTATCCTCTTTCTTCCTCGTTTGCCATGTGCTGCATGACCTGGGCCATATCTCGCATGGCCTGAGGATTCCTCCTTAGGGTTTAAGGAATGACAAAGTCCCCACCATAATGAGGACATGATCCTCAGCTGGATTGTCCCTGAGGGGTTTGGTTTCTCGGAGTTTGACTCCTTCCGTGACGGCGCGAACCATCATTTGTGTGATAAGAACTGATTCTGACCATTTTTAAAAATAGTTGTTTTGGATAATTGATGTGAAACTTTTTGAATAGTGTTCCCACAGACGGCGCCAATGTTGAGGTTAAGTCCCGCAGATCTGAAAGCCCAACACGAACTTTGGATATATCAGGAATGGATCAGAATCAAAGTGTATAACAAAATATAAAAGATGAATCAACGAATGCTCAAAAGCCCACTTGTATTAATTAACATGTTTGATTACAAGTAAACTTCCCGATCGGTACGTCAGAACTGTGCTTTAATACAAGAAACGAGAGTAATAATGATATTCTAGAGCTTGAGTATCAAAATGCTAACCCTTACAATGATATTAAACCTTCTATTTATACTAATGGAGAGCATGGGCTGCTCTATGCTGATTGGCCGTTGTTCCACCGACTTGATCACCCATGCTTCCACTTGCTGATGTCACAATCTGGCATTAATTGCACCTGGCCACTTGTTGGTTGTCCGTTGCTCGAACGGGATGTTGAACCATGCGGAAGACGCTGTCAAATTGGCCCAAGTATGATGTATGATCCGAACTCCGTTCGGTATTTCTGCTTTCTGGGTCGGCCTCTACTTGGACCGAACCTCGTTCGGTATGGATTCTTCATTGGGCCTACTCATCATAGGGTAATGGGCTCGCTGCTTTGGCCCGGATATCCTGGGCCTTTAATTCGGGTATTGGGCCTCTGAGCCAATATCCCAACAGGTTCCTTTTTTCTTGTATTATTCTCAAAATCATTTCTACCCCTTTTTCCTTTAGCTTTATTGCTTGATGAAGGTAGATTGTAACGCCCCAATTTTCCCGCCCAAAATAATAATAACATATTGATAACAAACTTGATTTATTCATTCAAAATAGATATAATTTTGCAGCGGAAATAATAATAATAGAAATGGGAAACAGGTGTGTTACCGCCACACCTAGCCCTCAACTTGGCTGGATGTTAAGGCTATCCACCACGAGTTCAAAATAATTAAAAACTTAAATTCAAAATTTAATAACATTATTTAGACTAAGTGAAGACTACACTAGAATCTTCTAAAGCGCTCTCAAGGCCCGTCAAACATCAAGAGCTTCATATTCATCATTAGCTGCACATATAAAGTGCAGAAAACAAAACAAGGAAAAGGAAACAAAAATTAGCTTTAGAGCTAAGTAAGTACTACCCAACCCCGTAAAATAATCAGGTTTGACAAAAATAGTTTTTCATATAATACTATATGTAAAAAAAACTCACACCACCAAAATTCTTTTCTAATCAAAAACATCATTTATAAACTTTATAATCTCAAATACCCGTTTAGTGAAAAATAATCCTTATAAGCTCCAAACAATTAACATCTCAAATAAAGGTATCACTTTTCAAAGATAACTTCTATAACTAAAAATATCACCATTCCAAAATCAATGTCACTCTTAGATTCTTTTAAGATGGGCGAAACTCAAGATTCCTCAAGTCCAATGAATCGTTGTTGTGTACGATTCATACCGGAATTCCGGCTCCCACCGACAACCAATTGGAAACTGAACTTCCCTTAAGTGTGCACACCCCCTAAAAGGGATTCCAAGCCCTCCGAGTAGTAAGAAGTCCAAGTAGTTCGGGCAACGTCCCCCTACCTCACAATTGGTTAGATACCCGGGTGATTAGAAACTACTACCTAGACCACCAAAGAACTTTTAAAGTTCTCAAAAGAAATACCGGGAATCTCCCGCCACCAATAATCATCATAAACCTAAACATTTACCGGTATATAGCTCTAACCACCCACACCTCGTGTTTCTCTCGAGATGTCAATAATCATTATAAAAACATTATTCATTCTTGGAAAATCATTTCTCTATACATACGTCCACCAAAAATCCACATTCATAAATACTCCAAAATTCTTTTACATAAAAATTCACTCCAAAGTCATACTAGGGATTAAATCCCAAAATATATCTCCAATATTTCTCAAATTCGTAGTCACTCCAAATAGTACACATTCAAAATTCACACTTAATCACAGAATGCATAATAAGCATATAATACGAGCAAACAATTTTGGATTGACAAAGAAACTTACCTTAAGTCCTGATGCTCCTAATTCTCTTCCTCAATTCTGATATCTAAATAATCACCTTTTTAATTAAGATAATATTAGTCCCTTCTTCTATTTTTTAATAATTTATTCGATTTCCTCTTACTATTTTATTATTCGAATTTATTAATATAATTTATTAGTTATTAGATTTTATTTGATTAATCACTTTTTATTAATCCAATCGCCTTATGAATTCAGCCATCAATTTACAACATTCGAATTCTATAGTTAAATCACAATATCCGAACATAATTAACTACAATATCCAATTTTTAATTTAATAATCACCATTAATTTACTCTACTCATAAAACATTAATTATATTTTAATATTATTAAAATATAGGAAACATAGCCGAATTATTTTTTTATTAAACTATTCAAATTTCGTAACTACATTAATTATATTAATCAACATTATTAATTAATCAGAATATTATAACAATTTATTTACACAAACTAATCATCATTAACTTAATCCGGTTTTATTAGCTTACGCAAACACTTAATATTTTCAATTTTACAGGCAAACGAGGTATGGCAAACGAGGTCGTGCGAGACCTCAGGCCATGCGAGATATGGCCCAGGTCGTGCATCACATGGCAAACGAGGAAGAAGGAGGATCCAATTTTACAGGTGAAACTCCCCACACAGAAACGACCACGGCGTCATCCCACTCACGGGCCCATCGGGATAATCGCCGTGGCGCTCCAACAGCAGCGCATCGTATTCCCAGTGACCGGACCCCGATCGGGTCACAAGCCAGGGCACCCACTCCTATTGACCGTCATTTCCAGCATGACGAACGGAATTATACTAGGGCCACTCAGAGGCACTGGGATCGAGAGTATACAGATTTGAGGACTCCACCACCGCCCCCTTTGATGGCCCAGGAGGACGAAATGGCCGAAATGAGGAGGCAGATGAATGAAATGAGAGATCAGATGAATAGGGCGCCCGTACAACCTTCTCCGATTCAGCTCGGGATTACTTCCCCTTTCACCAGGGAAATTATGTATGCGGATATCCAGGGAGGTGCCAAACCACCGACCGGTCAGATTTATGATGGGGTAGGCGATCCCCATGTCCATTTAAGGAGTTATCAAGGAGGACTCATGCTACTAGGAGCGCCCGAGGCTGCCATCTGCTGATTGTTCTTCAGTACACTCAGAGGACCCGCTCAAGAATGGTTGGGACCCTGCAACCTGGGTTGATCAACAGTTTTGCCGAACTATCAACGTTGTTCTTGGCCCAATTTGCCTCCAGTGCCATCCCAAAACGGCATTTCAGCTACTTGACTAGCGTGAAGCAGAACTCCAAGGAAACCCTCAATCAATTCTTGAAAAGATGGAGGGACGAAACTCTGACGGTCGGAAATATGACGGATGATACCGCCATCACCCTATTCACTAACGCTCTCCGAACGGGAGAATTATACAAGGATTTGAAAACGAATCCGGGTATGGCGTATGCCGTGGTGTTAGACAGAGCCCGCAAGCATGCTGCCCTGGAAGAAGAGATTATGATCAGGGACAAGGTCGCTGCGCCTACTGCCTCAATCAAAATGGCCGATCGGCTGGGTCCTACCCCAGTGGCTGCTCTCCCTCCTAAGCAAGGGCGATTTACTCCCGTGATCCTGTCCGTGGCAACCATTTATCAGAACGAAAAGGACAACATTCCCCTTCCGACTGATTCTTCAAATTATATGGGAGCAGATGAGTCTGCTTTTTGTAAATATCATAACAGGAAAGGTCACGCCACCAACGCTTGCAGGGCACTACAAACGGCTATTGAGGACTTGATCCAGTGGGGTCATCTGGGCAAGTATGTAAGTAAAGACCCACGTGTGGTAGGCACTTTAAAACCGATCAGGAAACCCAGAATGACGTATATATTCCTCCCAGGGATGAACCAGAGGGCTCGGGAGGCCCCGGAAAGAAACCTCGAATGGAGGTCAAAGTTATATTTGGGGGTGGGGAAACAGGGGATTCGAACTCCGAACGGAAAAGGTTCGAGCGAAGTCTTTATGTAGGATCCATCTCCATTCCCCCCCAGAAGATTGGAAGGACGGACCCATTCACGTTTGGGCCGGCTGATTTACCTAACTCGCCAAGCCCGCACAGGGATGAATTGGTGGTGAGCATGTGCATTGACAATGCTTTGATTCGCCGAGTACTGATTGATACGGGGAGCAGTGTGAATGTATTGTATTTACAATCGTTCGAGAAAATGGGCCTACAGAGAAATCAACTGACCCACCTAAGAACCCCACTGGCAAGCTTCACCGGTAACTGTATTGAGGCTGGGGGGACCGTCCAATTGTTGGTTGAAATTGGGGACGAACCGCACAAGGCATCACTCCGAATGACGTTCGTGGTGGTGGACATAAAATGTGCCCATAATGCTATCTTGGTCCGACCGGGATTGGAAGATCTGGAGGCAATAGCCTCTGTCCGCCACTCGTGCATCAAATTCCCCACAGACACTGGGGTTGGGGTGGCCAGAACAGATCCAGCGACAGCCCGAACATGCTACCGAGAGGCCCTGAAGCAGATGAATACCCAGGGAATGCGGGTTAACAGTATTGAGGTGGAGACCCACCGAACGGAGTTCGAGGCGCATCCAGAACCTGCCACTCTCCTCGAGCAAATTGACCTGGACTCCCCCTGAACCGGAAGGTAGCTATCAGGGTAGATCTGGAGGCTGACATTCGGGATGGCGTGATTGCCGTCCTAAAGAAGTTTCAGGTATTATTCGCCCGAGGGCCAGAAGATATGCCGGGCATTGACCCAGAGATAATCTGTCATAAGCTTGTCGTTCGGTCTGATGCAAAACCGGTCCAGCAAAAGAAACGATACCAAGCAACCGAACGGCGGGATTTCACAAAGCAGGAAGTGGCCACCTTGCTGAGAATAAAACACATCCGTCCGGTAATCCATGTCGAATGGCTATCCAATGTGCTCCTAGCTCCAAAACAATCGACTTGGAGGATGTGCGTGGATTACTCGGATCTGAATAAAGCTTGTCCCATGGACCCTTATCCGGTGCCGAGGATCGATCTGTTAGTAGATGAAACGGCCGAATGTGAATTGTTGAGCTTCATGGATGCATTCCGAAGATATCATCAGATTTTCATGCACCCAGATGATGCAGAGAAAACAACGTTCGTTACTTCGGATGGTGTGTTTTGCTATATTGTCATGCCATTCGGATTAAAGAACGCAATGGCAATTTTTCAGAGGATGATCGGGATGCTTTTCAAAGAAGTGTTGGGAGTCACAATGGAGGCTTATGTTGATGATATCCTGATCAAAAGCCGGAAGAAGGAGAATCATATCCTGGACATAGAAAAGGTGTTCAGGATAATGCAGAAAGCTAACATGAGGTTGAATCCCAAAAAATGTGCTTTTGCTGTGGGAGGGGGCAAGTTTTTGGGATACATGATGAGCGAGAAGGGGATTGAGCCCAATCCTGAGAAGGTAAAGGCAATTGTGGATATGGAGGCTCCTAGAAACCTCAAGGAAGTGCAGAGATTGACCGGTCGATTAGCAGCTCTGAGCAGATTCCTATCCAAGCTAGCCGATCGAGCTATTCCATTCTTCCAGATCATGAAAAAAGCCAACCCTTTTGAATGGACCGCCGAATGTCAAACGGCTTTTGAAGATTTCAAGACATACCTATCTTCTCCCCTGGTCTTGACAAAACCCGATCCAGGGGAACACCTGTATATGTACCTTGCTGTAGCTGACCTGGCCGTGAGCACGGTATTATTGAAAGAAGAAGATGGCATCCAGCGGTTGATCTATTTTGTAAGCAAGGCTTTGAACGGGCCGGAAACCAGGTACACCTTACTGGAGAAAACGGTACTGGCCCTGATAGCTGCTATTAAACGTCTAGCACCATATTTCCAGACCCATCTGGTAACTGTGTATACTACTCATCCACTCGCCACCATCTTGAGAAACCCAATGGCAAGTGGGCGCATTACAAAGTGGAGTCTCCTGATCGGGCAATATGAGGTGGATTTCAGGCCTCAACCTACTATCAAAGGGCAGGCCCTGGCGGATTTCTTTGCAGAATGTACCGCTCGGCCTTCGGAAATAGATTCAGAGAACAATGTGCTGGATAACTGGTGGGAGATGTATGTGGATGGTGCAGCTAGTGCCAAGGGTTGTGGAGCCGGAGTTGTGATCACATCGCCCGAAGGGTTCAAAGCATATTAGTCCATTCATTTTGACTTCAAAGTAACCAACAATGAGGCTGAGTATGTGGCCTTTATTGCGGGTTTAAAATATGCGAAGAGCCTGGGCACCGATCGGTTAAAAGTCCGGTCGGATAGTCAATTGGTGGTAAATCAAGTAAATGGCACAGCTGAGGCTAAAGAGGAAAGAATGAAGGCTTACAAAGAGCTAGTCGAGGAGCAGATAAACAAATTTGAACATGTGGTGCTCGACCAAATATCCAGAATAGAAAATACCGAAGCAGACATCTTATCCAAATTGGAAAATGCAGCGCTCGACGATTGGGCACAGGAGATTCCAGCTCATATCCAACGGTTTGCCCATCGGGAAACCTTGGCAACCCCAGCAATCATGGTGCTCCAGATCGAGGCCATATCTTATGTCGTCCCCAGTTGGGTCATAGATATGACCAACTACCTAAAAGACGGAACCCTCCCACAAGACAAAAATCCCGCTTATCAGATAAAATGCATTCAGAGGAGGGCTTCCATGTTTGAGCTGGTGGACGGACAGTTGTACAAAAAGACGTTTGGGGGCCATATTTGAAATGCCTCCCACCCAATCTAGCGGGGGCGGTAATGGAAGAAATTCATGAAGGCATTTGCTCAAGCCACCAAGGGCCCAAAACACTGGCCAGAAAAATCATCCTGCAAGGGTATTATTGGCCAACCATCCAACAAGACTGCTTCGCGCATACTAGAAAATGTAAAGTATGCCAGCTATACGCGCTGGTCCCCGGACGGCCAGCCACTTTCTACACTCCAATGACGGTGGCCCTCCCATTCGCTAGGTGGGGGATCGGCCTGCTAGGTCCTCTACCTACTGCCCCTGGGAACAACAAGTACATCATCGTTGGGATAGATTGTTTTACCAAATGGGTGGAGGCCGAGCCACTGGCTAGCATCACAGATGTCAAATGTCAAAAGTTTGTCTGGAAGAATATCATTTGTTGTTTCGGACTCCCCGAACAGATTATAACAGATAATGGAAGGCAGTTCATGAGCCGGAATTTTGAGAACTACCTTATCAAATGGGGAATCAAGCATTCCAGAGCATCCGTGGCATACCCCCAGGCGAATGGGCAAGTAGAGAATATGAATCGTACCATCATGGACGACATGAAGAAGAAGCTGGAAGAATACTCCTCATCATGGCCTGATCAGTTAAATTATATCCTATGAACTTACAGGACCACACCCCGAACGACCATAGGAGAAACTCCATTTGCCTTTGCTTATGGCTTCCAAGCCAAAGTACCAACGGAGGTCCTAATTCCTACACACCGAACGGTGCATTATAGCCCAGAGCGGAATGAGGACAGCCTACGGGCCGAATTGCACTTCATAGAAGAAAGAAGGGATCTAGCAGCTGCACGAATGTAAGAATAGCACAGGGCCACGAGAAGATACTTTGACGAACAAGTTAAAATTTGTTCAATCGAAGTAGGGGACCTGGTGCTAAGGAAGCGAGAAAAAAGCAAACCTCTCGAAGGTGAAAAAATGGCACAAAATTGGGAGGGCCCGTATCAAATATGCAAGAAGTATGCTTCAGGAACGTTTGGCCTACAATGTACCGAAGGTCGACCGGCAGACACATGAAATACGGAACATTTAAGAAAGTTTTATCAATAAAAACGGTTGTTGCCACCTCTGAATATATATATATATATATATATATATATATATATATATATATATATATATAGAGAGAGAGAGAGAGAGAGAGAGAGAGGGAGACATAACTTCCAGAAAATCTCAGCCCATAGTTAACAAGCAGTCATTCCGGATGACCGAATGACGAACGGGTTAACAACATGGAAGGAAAATCATTCTCAGCTAAAAGAAGTTGACCCTAGAATTATGAACGGATAAAGGGATCAAACGGCTTGGAGAATCGATGCTCAGAAAATCTCAACCCATGATTAACACGGTCATTCCGGATGACCGAATGACGAACGGGTTAACAACATGGAAGGAAAGTCATCCTCAGCTAACAGAATTTGACCCTGCAATCATAAGAGGGATCAAAACGGCTTGGAATTTGACGCTCAGAGAGTCTCATCTCAGCGGTTAACATGAGAATCGTTCCAGATAACCGAATGAGGAACATGTTAGCAGTTTGGAGGGAGCCATTATCTCAGCTAACAGAATTTTACCCTGTAATTACGAATTGTTAAAGGGATCAAAACGGCTTGGAGTTTGATGTCAGGAAATCTCACCTCAGCTTTTAACACACAGAATCATTCCGGATGACCGAATGAGGAACGGGTTAACAATTTGGAGGGAGCTGAACCATCAACTTAGCTAAAAGAATTTGACCCTGTAATTACGACCGGGCAAAGGGATCAAAACGGCTTGGAGATGGTGTCAAGACTATAAGTATGGACGAACCGAGCGACGTTCGGATAAGGTACGGATTGTCGTCCGGGGAATCGGAACTATGGTTTTGAAAAATCTCGCCTCAGTCATTAACTTGATTTGGAAGCGAGTCGCCCTTTTAGCTATAAGTAAGGAATAACCCGATCCGGTGACCTTGCTTACAGTTTGAAAAGGGTTACCTCGGACCCCTAATATGGATGATACGAGGCAGAGAGAATTGTTCGGAATGCATTGGAATTATGGGTTTGGAAGGGAGAGAGTCTCACCTCAGCTTGTTATCACGTGGGATCATTCCGGATGACCGAATGACGAACGGGTTAACAGTTTGGAGGGAGCCGCCATCTCAGCTGAAAATTTGACCCTGTGATCACGATCAAAACGGCTTGGAGGGATTCACCTCAACTAAAAGATTTTTGACCCCGTGGATCACGAACGATAAAGGGATCAAAACCGGCTTGGGAATGGTGTCAGAACAACTATTGTCAAAGCGAGTGACGTTCGATAACATAGATTGTCGTCCGCAGAATCGGAATTTTCAGAGAGATGATTGAATGACGAACGGTTTGGAGGAAGACATTATTTCAGCCAAAAGAATTTGACCCTGGCCTTACGACCGAACAGTGGGATCAAAACGGATTGGAAACAATGTCAGAAATATAGAGATACATGAGCCGAGTGATGTTCGGCAACACAGAAAATATTATGAACAAGAGAAATGACAAAAAATCAATAAACAGAAGAGCAATACTTCAACACGGTTAAAGGAAAATATCCAGTTTATTCTTCGGCACTACTAGCCGGAAGATACAAAAGAAAAAGAAGAGAAGGCGAAAAATAAATATATAAGGCTACGCTACTGGAGGATCGCCGTTCGGGGAAGATAAGGGTCGGGAGCTCCCTGCCTGCGCTGCATCATCGGGCACTGCTTCTTTTCTTTTCTCCATAACCCGATCATAGGTATTCCCGAACAGATCATCAAATCCCAACTCATCAGGATCGAATGGCTTAGGGAAATGCTCCAGGATCAGATCATGGTTCCTGTCTAAAAGCAGATCCTGACTTTGTTTCACAGTCTTCTCGGTCAGGACATCTAGAAAAGACTTCCCTTCCGGCATGCTATCTAGGAGATCGATGCCTGCCTTAACGGGATCTTCGCTTTCGCGCAAAAATTGGCCAAGATGAGGTCCCAGGAATTGTCGAGCTGTATTCTCTAGAGCGACGTTCAGCCCTTTACCCCGTTGATAGTCAACTATTGATTGATTGGCAATATGGGAAGTGTTGGCAGTATAAGGCTTGGGAAGATTGTCACCAAGGACCTTATCAAATTTTACCCCGGCAGATTCAGCAGCCCGCACCTTGGCCCGGAGTTCTTTAATCTCTCGATCGCGACATCGGGTCTTTTCTTGCATCGCAGCCAGAGCAGCCTTCGCTTTCTCACCTTCTTTGGCGCGTTCTTGTAGATCTGCAGCTAATTTCCGAGCAGCGGAAAGAAGGACCTGGTTATCGTCCCGATCGCTGGCTAGGAGTTTCATTTCCTTTTCGGCCGCCAGGAAGGCCTTGTGATAATATACACCGGCCTGAAGACAAGTGACAAATGAAGTCAGATAAGATGAACAAATAAAAAGTAGGAAAGTATGGATCAAAATGAAGTGTACCTTGAGTGCCTCTTGATGACCTGCCTTAAGAAGATCTAACCAGTGAGTCTGGTTTGTGAAGCTAGGGGGAACCTTCAGCGAAGTGCTGCACCACATGGATGATGGCATTAGCCCGAACAGGTATCTTCCTTCTGCTCTAGGCCCCATGTTTGAAAACTCAACAAACATCCGATCATCGACCGGCGTATCAGAAAGAACTAGAGTTTTCGGTTTGGCAGGCACAGATCTTTTTGGCTCAGCCTCCGTTCCGGTCAAATCGACCACGTGATCGACCGGGATCAGTATGCTGCCATCATTCCCTCTGCGTTTCTTCCGGGTTTGCTCAGCAGATGCATGATCGGCAATCATCTTCTCCTTGCCTTTTCCGGAGGAAGCTGTCGGAGTAACGGCAGATATGGAACGCCGAACGGGTATATGGGATATCACACCTACAACAAAGGGAATAAGAGATAAGAAACTAAATTGAAAGGAGGACGATCGGGTTAAAACCCTGTTACACTTACCAATCCCAGCAGATAGCATATTAGAAGGGGTAATAAAACCCCGAAGACTTCGAGTTCCTCCCATACGCAGAGATTCAGCTTGGGAGTGCAGAACGACATATATTCTGGGCTGAGAATCCCGAACGGGGTAGGCGTTCCACCAATCAGGAAATGGGAGAGAATCGCCTATACGAACGAATAGAAATCGCTCCTCCCAGTCAGCCGGCGGGGTAGGATTATCTGTAAACAACTGATGATCAGCTCGGGCTACCAGCTTCAGGTACCCGGTCGTCCAATAAGGCTGATAGCAGTAATGCTGTAGAAATAAATCAACACTTGGAGCGATCCTCAGTTCCTGGCATCAAATTATGAAGTCAGTCAGAATGCGGTAGGTGCTAGGTACGAACTGAGCGGGAAGTACGGAAACCCGACGCAGGAACTCCACAACGAATGGGTGAAGAGGGAAGCGAAGCCCGGCAATCAATGCATCAAGATGAACTAGCACGTGTCTCGGTCGGTGCCTCATTGGATGCCTAATAAATCCAGCGTAAAATTCTCTTGGTGGAGGCAATAGTTGGCAAAGTTGTCGTTCGGCATCTTCAGGAAGACGTTGTTTCTGTTTGCCAATACGATTGAAGTGCAGGACAATGCGGGGTGGCCGCTCGGGCATTCCCTTGTTATAGATCTGTACGTCGTCCCCTGATAGGCATCCGTCATCACGAAGCTGTTCGGTATCTTTTCCTGTGAGAGGATTGCCGGAATTAGGTACTTAGGAAGAGAGCCTTCGACCTTGTTCCCAGCAGAAGTTTTTCCTACACGAATCAACGACATTTCCTCAGATTCTGAGGTAGAAGGAAAATACATAAAACCACTTTATGAATCCTGAGAATTCTAGAGAGAGAAAGCTTGGAGATACACGAGAGAGAAAACTTGAAACAGCAAGAAAAATGAGGATCAAGCACCTCTCTATAAATAGAGAAAGTGCCGCCCAAAACCCTAATCCATAAACAACACGTGGCATTACGTGGTTATGATTAATCAGGGCGTATTTATGGCTCATTGCTAGGCACGTACCCCGAACGGGCAATGAAGAAACATGGTTGCAAGTATTGTTTAACCAGGCAATCTTTTCCAACAAGATCGAACGAATGTTTATTTCAGATATGTGTATCAACTGGCCGAACAATGAACGGCAGGCCAAAGGTGGATAAAGGAAGGTCAGAACGGCCAATTCCTTTCACATTTGGCCGAACAACGAACAACCAAAGGAAGGCATCCATAAGAAACCTGTTATATCTCGAACGGTCACACAAAGAAATGCAACAAGGTCCATGATAACAGCTAAATATTATCCAACTGGCCAAGTAACGAACATCGAGCCAAATGACTAAGATGTTTCAAATTAGCCGAATGACGAACGGTCTCACATAGAATTAGCAAAGATCAAACTAAATTGCTGGTTATAAAACTGCTAAGTCCTAAAAAATGACAAGAAGCCCGAACGGCTATCAACATAAGAAGGAGGCCAAATGCGGGTAAACTGTTGGAAACATCTGAGGCCAGAAAAAACTGCTAAGTCCTAAAAAATGATCGGAAGCCCGAACGGCTGTCAACACAAAAAGAAAGGGGCCAAATCCTGGTAAATTGTCAGAACTATCTGATGCCCGAGCGGCAATCGAACGGTGATAGGAATGTTAAGTAAAAAATGAGGTCAGAAAACTGTTAAGTCCTATAAAACGGACCGAATCACGAATGGTAAGCAATCAATCAATAAAGGCAAGAAAGACAATATATGAAGCTTTGTGCTAAAGGGATCATATATATATTCATCGGCTCTATCGGCCGGAAAGTACAAATATGGTTTGCAAAAAAGGAGAAGGGTGGAAGGGATTACAATTGCTAACAATACTAAATTCTAAATCTACTGTTCCTCCCTAGTATCTGTAAACAACTGATGATCAGCTCGGGCTACCAGCTTCAGGTACCCGGTCGTCCAATAAGGCTGATAGCAGTAATGCTGTAGAAATAAATCAACACTTGGAGCGATCCTCAGTTCCGGGCATCAAATTATGAAGTCAGTCAGAATGCGGTAGGTGCTAGGTACGAACTGAGCGGGAAGTACGGAAACCCGAAGCAGGAACTCCACAACGAATGGGTGAAGATGGAAGCGAAGCCCGGCAATCAATGCATCAAGATGCACTAGCACGTGTCTCGGTCGGTGCCTCATTGGATGCCTAATAAATCCAGCGTAAAATTCTCTTGGTGGAGGCAATAGTTGGCAAAGTTGTCGTTCGGCATCTTCAGGAAGACGTTGTTTCTGTTTGCCAATACGATTGAAGTGCAGGACAATGCGGGGTGGCCGCTCGGGCATTCCCTTGTTATAGATCTGTACGTCGTCCCCTGATAGGCATCCGTCATCACGAAGCTGTTCGGTATCTTTTCCTGTGAGAGGATTGCCGGAATTAGGTACTTAGGAAGAGAGCCTTCGACCTTGTTCCCAGCAGAAGTTTTTCCTACACGAATCAACGACATTTCCTCAGATTCTGAGCTAGAAGGAAAATACATAAAACCACTTGATGAATCCTGAGAATTCTAGAGAGAGAAAGTTTGGAGATACACGAGAGAAAAAACTTGAAACAGCAAGAAAAATGAGGATCAAGCACCTCTCTATAAATAGAGAAAGTGCCGCCCAAAACCCTAATCCATAAACAACGCGTGGCATTACGTGGTTATGATTAATCAGGGCGTATTTATGGCTCATTGCTAGGCACGTACCCCGAACGGGCAATGAAGAAACATGGTTGCAAGTATTGTTTAACCAGGCAATCTTTTCCAACAAGATCGAACGAATGTTTATTTCAGATATGTGTATCAACTGGCCGAACAATGAACGGCAGGCCAAAGGTGGATAAAGGAAGGTCAGAACGGCCAATTCCTTTCACATTTGGCCGAACAACGAACAACCAAAGGAAGGCATCCATAAGAAACCTGTTATATCTCGAACGGTCACACAAAGAAATGCAACAAGGTCCATGATAATAGCTAAATATTATCCAACTGGCCAAGTAACGAACATCGAGCCAAATGACTAAGATGTTTCAAATTAGCCGAATGACGAACGGTCTCACATAGAATTAGCAAAGATCAAACTAAATTGCTGGTTATAAAACTGCTAAGTCCTAAAAAATGATCAGAAGCCCGAACGGCTATCAACATAAGAAGGAGGCCAAATGCGGGTAAACTGTTGGAAACATCTGAGGCCAGAAAAAACTGCTAAGTCCTAAAAAATGATCGGAAGCCCGAACGGCTGTCAACACAAAAAGAAAGGGGCCAAATCCTGGTAAACTGTCAGAACTATCTGATGCCCGAGCGGCAATCGAACGGTGATAGGAATGTTAAGTAAAAAATGAGGTCAGAAAACTGTTAAGTCCTATAAAACGGACCGAATCCCGAATGGTAAGCAATCAATCAATAAAGGCAAGAAAGACAATATATGAAGCTTTGTGCTAAAGGGATCATATATATATTCATCGGCTCTATCGGCCGGAAAGTACAAATAGGGTTTGCAAAAAAGGAGAAGGGTGGAAGGGATTACAATTGCTAACAATACTAAATTCTAAATCTACTGTTCCTCCCTAGTGTCTTCTTCATCACCCTTCTCCTCGTCTGAGTCAGTGGGGGGATCAGGCTGCCTCCCCGCTTCACGATCAGCAGCCCGTTGCAAGTCCCGTTGATATTTTTCGTATTGGGCTTCAACGATGGGCGCCTGGGGAAGATCAGTCAGCTCGACCGGCCTCCCTAGCAATTCTTGCAGTTTGGCAACAAAGGGAGACATAATATGCTGGCAGCCCATGAAATAAAGAGATCGGGCCAGAGAGTCATTAAATTTTTTGCCCCTTGGGTCCTGGTCGAGCAGTTTGACCCCCTCGCTGCGGCGGGCATCACCCGTGAAGAATCATTCGAGATAAGCATCAAAGGTGGCCGGGAGTTCCTGCTGCGCATAGTCTTTCTTCAGGGAAGAAAACTCCTCAGATCCTTTGAATGCTTCCCGGACGGCGGACAAATCAACCTTCACCTCAGCTGGGCCGTCCGGGATACGGGGAGCGCATTCTTCGAACTTTACCAAAGCAGCTTCAGCAGCATGAACTTTGGCTTGGAAGGCCCTGAGCTGAACCCTAAGTTCACCAAGCTCCGACTCAAGGCGTTTTTTCTCCTCCGCAGAGGCCTTCCGTTCGGTCTCCAGAGCAGCAAAAGCAGCAGCTGCATTCTGCTCCACAGAAGTCTGAGCGACGATCAGATCCTGCTCTTTAGCCAGTCGAGCCTCTTTCAGCTGCAGACTGTAAAGCCCGACCTGCAGAATGTCGTTCGAGAAATGAGATGGTGTGAAAGGAAATTTAAAACAAACAACAACAACAACAACATCCGAGCCTTAGTCCCAAAAGATATTGGGGTCGGCTAACATGAATCGATACATGATATCACAAACAAAAGGAAAAGAAGGAATAAAGATAAAAAGATAAGCTATTATGAAAAGATAATATAAAAAAAAAGATGAATATATATATAAATGATAAAATAAAAAGGCTGCAAATATTGCTTATATATATAAGGAAAAAAAAACTAGGAAAAAAAAAAGATGATGGAAAAAGATTATCAAGATCACTCCTTCACGTGAATACCCGCCCTCCACTTAGTTCTCTCCAAAGTCATGTCCTCATCCAACCCCAAAAGAAGCATATCACTTCGAACTCCCCTAACCCACGTCTGTTTGGGTCTTCCTCTCCCTCTCTTCCCTGCCTCTTCTCCACACATCTCAACTCGCCTAACAGGTGCATCACTCGGTCTTCTACGCACATGACCAAACCACCGTAGGCGCGACTCCCGCATCTTGTTTTCAATAGGTGCTACTCCCACCCTTTGTCTGATTGTCTCATTCCTCACGCGGTCCTTCCTAGTATGCCCACACATCCAACTCAGCATGCGCATCTCTGCCACACTCATCTTATGAATGTGACATTGTTTCACCGCCCAACACTCTACGCCATACAGTAATGCAGGCCTAATTGATGTCCTATAAAATCTACCCTTCAGTCTAGTCGGCATACATCGGTCGCATAGAAATCCTGACGCACTCTTCCACTTCATCCACCCTGTTCTGATTCTATGGGATACATCTCCATCTAACTCACCGTCCTTCTGAATTATGGAGCCCAAGTAACGGAACATATCGCTGACTGGTATCTCCTTACCATCCAGAGTAATTCCGCTATTACCACTACTTCTACCTCCACCAAACTTGCACTCCATGTACTCTGTCTTGCTCCGACTTAGTTTGAAACCCTTATTCTCCAATGTTTGTCGCCATACTTCCAACTTTGCTTTAAGACCTGATTGCGTCTCATCAATCAATACAATATCGTCGGCAAACATCATGCACCACGGTATATCGTCTTGAATTGACTTCGTAAGTTCATCCATGACTATGGCAAATAAGAAAGGACTCAAGGCCGATCCTTGGTGCACTCCGATAGTAATAGGGAACTCTTCAGTCCTCCCTACACTAGTACGAACACTTGTAGTACAATCCTCATACATATCCATGATGATGCTGATATACTTGCGTGATATGCCTTTCCTAGTTAAGGCCCACCAAAGAACTTCTCGAGGTACCCTATCATATGCCTTTTCTATGTCAATGAACACCAAATGCAGATCCTTATGAGCATCTCTATACTTCTCCATAAGTTGCCGAAGAAGGTGAATGGCCTCAGTTGTTGAGCGACCAGGCATAAAACCGAATTGATTCTCTGAAATCTTCACAGTCCTTCGAAGTCTTTGCTCAATCACTCGCTCCCAAAGTTTCATGGTGTGACTCATAAGCTTAATCCCTCGATAGTTGGCACATTCTTGTACATCACCTTTATTCTTAAATAAGGGGATAAGAGTACTCTTCCTCCAACTCGTTGGCATCTTGTTGTTTCTCCAAATCATGTTGAAGAAACTTGTTAACCACTCGACGCCTCTCTCTCCCAAACTTCTCCAAGCCTCGATCGGTATGCCATCTGGCCCCATTGCTCTTTTCCGTCCCATCTTCCTCAGAGCTTCTTTAACTTCCGTTGTTTGGATCCTTCTCACAAAATCACGGTTTACCATACAATCTGGTATGGACAAATCGCCGATATCTTGCGTTTTGTTCCCGTTGAATAGTGTATCAAAGTATGACCTCCACCTCTCTTTTATCTCTCCGTCGTCCATTAATATCCTCTGATCAACATCCTTCACACACTTAACTTTTGCAATATCTTGAGTTCTGCGATCACGAATACGAGCAAGTCTATAAATATCTAGTTCTCCTTCCTTAGAGTCCAACTTTTCATACAACTCCTTGTTCACTTTCCCTCGTGCTTCCCTTACGGCTTTCTTTGCTTGTCTTTTAGCCTCCCTGTATGCTTCTATGTTCTCATCACTCCAATTTGTCCCCAACTTTTTGTAGCAATCTCTTTTGTTCCTTATGGCTTGTTTCACCTCATCATTCCACCAAGATGTGTCCTTTTTAGGTGGCCGACATCCTTTAGATTCTCCAAGTACCTCCTTTGCCACTTTGTTAATGGTCAACTCCATTGATAACCACACATCATCCACATGTGTTTCATTATCAATACGCCATACATCTTCACCGACCATTTTGTGTGTAAAGCTTTGTTGAAGATCTCCCTCAAGCCTCCACCACTTTATGTTTGGCTCCACTTGTTTAACTTGTCTTCTATGGTTCTTACCTCGAAAGTCAAGCAGAAACATCCTATGCCGAGTGACAACACTCTCACCCGGAATAACCTTACAATCAGTGTAGCTAGTTCTCCAAGTGGTCCGTACTAAGAAGTAGTCAATTTGGGTACTATTAGCTCCACTTTTATAGGTTACAAGGTGAGAGTCTCTTTTCTTAAACCAAGTGTTCATTATAGCCAACTCATACGTCAAGGGAAAATCCAAAATGTTCTTTCCCGCCTCATTCCTAGTGCCAAAACCATGTCCGCCATGAATATTCTCAAAGCCATCACGACTCGAGCCCACATGCCCGTTGAGGTCACCTCCTATGATCAACTTCTCTCCCCTTGGCACTCGTCGCACCACGTCTTCAAGATCTTCCCAGAACTGTTGAGTTGTAGATGCATCCAATCCCACTTGTGGTGCATAAGCACTTACCACAGACACAAACTCACCTCTTATCACCATCCAATCCCACTTGTGGTGAAAGGAAATTTAAACTATGAGAAAAATATAGGGAAAAAAGTAAAATACCTTCGGGGCTGCTAAGGCCAAGCATTCCTCAGATTGCTCGATCGACAGCGTGGGAACATTGAAATTGTTGAAGAAAGCGGAGGTAGACCAAATCTGGCTTGCCGAACATCCACCTTTTTCTACAACTTCATGAACCGGATCCGCCAGTGAGATCCGGTCGACCTGGCCAGACAGATGGATGGTGGGCATATCACCCGCACCCTGACCAGTCTCCTGAGCAGCCTGGAAGTGCTCAGGAAATCGATGCATCTGATCAGAACCAAATCGATCGTCGACCAGCATGGCATCAAATTGGTCCTGATGGACCTGTTGCAGTGGTTGTGGTTCTGGAACGGGTTGAGAAGTTCCCGCATCCTGGACGGTAATTGTGGAAGGAGTAGGTTGAGGGTTCTTCATGGCTTTCTTCCGTTTGTCGACCCCACCAGCTGCAAGAACTCTACTGTTGTCCATAGGTACGTCTGGGTTGAGAGCTAAAAAATAACAAAGGAAAATATTATTACCGAGCAGACCTTAGCACGTGGGAAACAAAAAGAAAAAGAAAACGTTTCTCGCACGGGAAGGACTGCCCGAACCATGGCACTTGATTTCTCAAAGCAAGTAAACCCAAGAGAACGGGCAGTACATATCCCGGCTTTAACAAGCCGATCGGGGGGAGTCAGGTAGGTCATGATATCGTAACACTTGTCTTTCTCCACAGCAAGTACATCCTTGTAGATTTCCTCAGAAAGAACCGGGTCGGGAGTCTTGCGAGGGAAGACGTTCCATTTGCGAGGGATCAGCCCGTCCGGGACAGACACAAAGAAGAACCTATCTTTCCATCCCTTGATTGAGGTTGGATTACCCTTGAAAAGAATATGCCCCGTTCGGGAACTGGCGGCTAGATACCCATGAGTTTGTTGGGGGGCTACTTTAGAAAATTGATGGGATAAATCTAGGGTCGGCGAGGCACCGACATCCTTGCAACGACAAATAAAGCCCGCCATGGCCTGATAGGAGTTCGGCATGACTTGGGCAGGTACAATTTCGTAAAAATTGAAAAATGAAACAAAAAAGGAGTGTAACGGAAATCTAAGCCCAGCCCTAACTGAATCAAAATGGACTACGACCATCCCGGGGGCGTGACGCAGGGGATGAAGCCCAGCTCGCAACCGGAAGTCAACTTGGTCTGGGATTAGGGTCGGAATTTCGGCCCTATTATTGGCGGTCAATTTTTGCCATCTTGCCCTAATTAGACTTAGGTCGAGTGTGTGACGGGGAACATCGTTTGGGCGCCCGGTCGCCATTAAATCCATTTCGTCCTCGGATTTCGTGCCATCAGAGCTTTCACCGGAGGAAGATGAACTGCTAGAAAGGTCCTCCGCCTCCGCCCTAGTATTTGTCGCCGTTTCAGTAGAACCGCCGGTGAATGGAACTGTAATGACGTCCACGACGGCAGCATCACGGTCATCTCCTTGAGAGGCCATTTCCGAATCAGGGGAATGCGGTTGAGAACTCATCTCGACCGAGCCAGAAATGAAGTAAGAAAGTAGAGGGAGGGAAAGTACCTGAACACGAAAGCTTGAAGAAATTTCAGAAACAGAGCAACGATGCGAAGGAAATTGAAAATTCGAAACCCGGAATTGAGAAGCTAAAGGCTAATTTATAGCCTTAAAACCGCCGTATCGAGGACCAATCAGGGAGCGACATGTCACTAGAACCATTTAAGCAAAACGCGTGTCTAATGAAACGACTAACGACAGTAATCATGATGAATATGGGGAAAATAAAACGACAGCCGTCAAATCACAATATGGGTAACTAACCACGTCTGTACCCCGATCGCCATTCGGCAGTTACAACATTGGTGTTTATACTTCCTAATGCACTCACTGTCATTCGAGACATCGGAAGTGAGGGACTTGTGTTGGGATATTGACCCGGAGGCCCAATACCTGGATTAAAAAGGCCCAGGATACCCGGCCCAAACAAAGAGTCCATTACCCTATGATGAGTAGGCCCAGTGAAGAATCCATACCGAACGGGGTTCGGTCCGAGTAAAGGCCGGCCCAGAAAGCAGAAATACCGAATGGAGTTCGGGTCATATATCATACTTGGGCCAATTTGACAGCGTCTTCCGCATGGTCCAACATCCCGTTCGAGCAACGGACAACCAGCAAGTGGCCAGGTGCAATTAATGCCAGATTGTGACATCAGTAAGGGGAAGCATGGGTGATCAAGTCGGTGGAACAATGGCCAATCAGCATAGAACAACCCATTCTCTCCATTAGTATAAATAGAAGGTTTAATATCATTGTAAGGGTTAGCATTTTGATTCTCAAGCTCTAGAATAGCATTATTACTCTTGTTTCTTGTATTAAAAGCACTGTTCCGACCTACCGATCGGGAAGTTTCCTTGTAATCACACATGTTAATTAATACAAGTGGGCTTTTGGGTATTAGTTGATTCATCTGTTATATTTTGATATACACTTTGATTCTGATCCATTCCTGATATATCCAAAGTTCGTGTTGGGCTTTCGGATCTGCGAGACTTAACCTCAACAACTATGTTAGCATGAGCGGTCCAAAAACAGTCCAGCCCAAATATTAAATCTCTGGTCCAATTACATAAGAAAACATTAATGTAGTAACGGCGTATAACGTACGTGTACTGTTCACCGTTCTTCGTCCTTTCTTGCCGGTGAGCGTAGGAAGCTTCCAACGGCAAGACAGATCAGGCAACGGCGGCCTCAATCCCCTCTTCCGACTGTGGTGTTGGCGTTACAGACGAGCGGCGGTGGCAGCCTGGTGCAGCAATGACTTCGTTACTTCCTCTCCCTCCAGCATGGGCGCAGTCCGGCGAGTGTATCGGCCACGCAACTACGAAGCCTGCGACCCTCGCTCTCGTCTCCAGTAAACGGCGCGGGCAGAGATGCGTACTCTGATTTCCTCCCTTCTCCGGTGACGAAACAGCTTGGCGTACCACTGGTCTTCTTCTCTGGCAAGAGATGGTCGTCGATCCGGCGCTCAATGGGCGGACGTTCTTCCTTCTTTCCGTTTACGATGCGGGCACGTGTTACAGAATGGTTGTTTGGTTTGCTGTGCTCAGAGAGTAAAGGTTTACGGAGGTGGTGTGTTCGTTCGTTGTTGGTCCGTCATTCCGTCGCAGTCGCTCGTTCGCATATACGGAGTATATATGTATACGTACACGGTACATGCAGGCTTCCCACTTTACGTACTCCGTATTACTTAACATTAGTACATAATAACTCCAGGAGTTTATTAGCCATCCATTTGTTGTTCATTATTGTCATTTATGTATGTACGATACATACTTTCATGCCTATGGGAGAATATTAATTATGATATGATGATGTGTGTATATATGTTGATGCGCATGTTTGTATGTAAGTTAGTGGAGTATTATGGAGTTTGTATGTATGTATGTATCATGATGTATGACTATATGTAAATAATGTAATACTCCCTCCGTCCCGTTAGAAGATTCTCATCCACTATTCTCATGGTCAACTTAAATCATTTTTAATCTTTTACTTTATAAATCAATTTTTTGCCAAATTTACATTTTTTTTATCAGGCTTTGTAGCGGTTTTAATGTAGTTTCTGAATATGTTAATTTTATTTACGAAAAATAAACAGATTGTGAATAGGGATTAAGTTGCTTTATCGACAGTCAAACATCGTAAACCGTTCACGGGAACCTTCTACTTTGCAGATTACATAGGAGGGAGTATATATGTATGTTGATATGTTTATGTTTTAATTTGCAGATTACATAGGTGGTTAATCCTTAGCAGGAGATCTCAAGTCATACTAGTAATGAATTTTCGTATATCTTAGTTTAGTTTTATTCATCTTTTAACATTTTTTGTCAAATAACTTGTATCAAATTTATTCTTATCAGCTAGATTATATCTGATATATCTTTATCAGCTAAATAAATCATACTAGTATTTGTTTTATTTTTATTTTTAAAATTTTGGGGTGTCACATAGATCCTCTATATTCCTACCACCATCTTGTGGAAGATATGATAAGTCCTCCTGGTGGGATGATGCATTTTCACTTGGTGTGAACATGTTAGTATTCGGATCAAAAAATAATCCGTCAATGTCACCAATTCCACCTGATTCATCATCTACTCCTAACACTGTAGCATCTGTATTTTCATCAAGACCAATTGCACTCATTCCACTTGCAGTTCCATTCCCCATCGCGTTTCTCAAGTCCTCGTAGTCTGGAAAAGTTTCTGACAGAAGGTGTGCATGTTCTTTATGTGACTGATATATAAAAAAATATTATTTTGATGTTATAAAATAGACACATATATGAATTAAAAGAATGCCCACCTTCAGGTAGTCAACTCATACTTCTTCGAAAGCGATGAATTTCTTTGTGGTCGTATCCCATTTGAGTTATGCCGCATAAGTTGAGAGTAATAGGAGTAGTGTTTTTTAAACCATTTGACTCTACTTTGGTAATGATTAAAACTAATTTCATAACCCAATTTTTCCTTAAGTTTAGGAAGGAGTCTGGTCTCTACCATCAATTCCCAGTTTTTCATAACCATTAATTCATTAATGGTAGAGACCTGACTTTTTAAACAATAGAATTGATAAAGAAATAATTAATTAATTGTCATTAATTAAAAAGATTGAACTTACAAAAAAATCCCAGAATCTTGATAATCCAAGGTTGAAAAGCTCTCAAAAATTCGTTCTAGGGTTTATCTCTCTAAAGTCTAAACTCATAATCAAAACCATATAAAACGGGTTGTATTTATAGAAAACAACTAAAAGTGGGCGATGTTGGGTCCTCACGGTCGTGCACACAGCGTGCGGCTGATCGTGCGGACCTCCTTAAAAAACGACGTCAAAAATCCTTTGCCCGCGGACCTTCATCCAAGTATATTCTAAAGCGCAATGCGTGCGGACTTTCCTGCAAACATATTCTGGAGCGCGAGGCGTGTGGCCTCGCAGTGCGAGGCGTGTGGCCTCGCACGTAGGCGTGAGACTTTGGAATCAAGAACCGGAAAACCGTTGGAAATGAACCGTTAAAATCCGGTTCGGTTCAATTTCTACACATGAGTTATAAGATGTTAACTGTTCGGTTCTTATTCTTACAAAAAAGATTGTTTGCGGAACCGTTATTAATTAAAAAAATTGAAAGTATAACTAGTGATAATAATAAAAATAACAATAATAATAACATTAACAATAACAATAATTATAGTAACAATAATAGTAATAATAATATAATCAATAACATTTAATCACACAATAATTTAAATTTAATTGATTGATGGAAGCGAATGAGGGTGAATACATTAACCTCGTTTTTTAGAAATCATATTTTGTTCCATCACGGAAATTTCATAATTATAAAAGTAAACCAAATTAATATTCAAGATGAACTTCAACTAGACGTCTTATTCTTTATTTGTGAAATTTTCAAGATGATACTAGGGAATGTGTTGGTTTGATATATTTTTTCTTTATAATATTCAAGATGATACTATTTGTGAAATTTTCTGTAAATAATGTTTATAGGATTTTGAAATGTAATGATATTTATATTTGTACATGCGTATTCAATATATTTTTTTACATTTTGAGGAACTTCAACTAGACGTCTTATTCTAAATTTCTAATATGATGATCCAACTTTTAATGTTATCAAAGAACAACATTTTTCATAGTTTATTTACAAACAAAATTCAAAAATTATTTCATTCTATTAAGTGTTGAATAAATTAAATTTGGACTTAATCTTTGATGTGATAAGAGCTTCACAAAGTACTTATTGCTTGTGTTGTGAATTTTCGACGTTTTCGCAATGTAGAAAGTAAATTCTGTTAATTTTTAAATGGAAAAATATTTATGCTTAGGAACCGATAAAAGTAAGAACCGAACCGTTTACTATTGATTCGGTTCCATAACGGTTCTTGAAATTTTAGATAGGAACCGAACCGATTTGATTAGTTAAGTTTTTTTGTAACAGTTCCACTAATTTCATATAAAAATCAAACCGGTCCCATGCCTACCCGCACGGTCCGGCGTGCGGACCTCTTTTGAACCGTTTCTTGCTCTTTTCTTCCTCGATCCATCCCACATTCATTCTTTGACTTCTTTTGAATCTAAAATTGCTCCTTAATTGCCCCGTGGATCTCCGATGCCTCTTCTCAACTCTCAAACGCGTCCCAAATATTCTCAAATTAATTACCAATGTCAGGTTCAAAATCCTAAGTTGTGATTCTAAAAATAGCAAACGCAAACTAAAACCCGATAAAATGTGACTTGAGCTAATTAAACGTTTTGTGACACATTTAAACTAGAAAAACTGACAAAAACGATCCCAACGCACATCAAATGCGTGTTGAAATACAGATTTATCATCCATCCGAATTAGCGCCTGATTTTTTTATTTTATAATAACAAAATGATCATCATAGCCTGAAAGCCTCCATTTTTAATATAACGATTTTAGTCATTCTCTGCTAAATCAAATAAGTCAATATTGTTAGCAGCAAATTCTTCTGCCTCATTAGCCTCAAATTGTATATTGCATAACCACAATGTGAAAGTTGTGGGACACAAAAAATTAATGGATAAGTCATCAATCTGAACCACCCTTGTTGAGACCATCACCATAGTCCAAAAATATAGGAAACATGAAAATAAATTGAGAATCTGATGCCAACATGCTTCTGGGCATACCTTATGTTGCATTTGAATCCTCTAAAGGCCAACTTCAATCTCCATAAGGTCTCATTTTCTCTTCAATTCCCTCTGCAAGAAATTCAATGGAAAGTTTATGCAAATTGGCACATATAGTAAATAATATTTTTCTTAATCCGTTAGGAACATACCTTCATGAGAGTGTCAAGAACGGACTTTACTTGTTGAAGGTTGCATATAACCCAAAGATCGCATGTCATTTGTTACTTTCAACCAGCAACAAAAGAATCAAAGTACATGATTATCTTCTGACATGTGTGGCTCAGAAATAATATCAATACAAATATACATACAACTCATAGCTCCATAACATTTATATGAGTGTCCTTTGAAGTTTGATATACACCGAGTGAAAACATGACCCCATTCGCACCCTTTCCAGGTCTGATTACAGGTGTGTGTGTGCGCGCGTGCCCGCAAGCGCGCACACGACTTCTATTTCATTCAAATATCTTGACACCAAATAGAAGGGAACAATTCAAAGGATATCAAAGGAAGGTGAAGCACTTACATAGAAAAAGCCTTTTTGGGTTCCTGTATTGAAGTTACACCACATAGAAAAGCACTTTTGATTTTGTTTATTGAAGTAGAAATGATATCAACTACAATAATCCAAGTTAATTAAAAGAGAAAAAAAGATTGGCATCTCAAATGGACATGAAGCTCACCTGACGAAGCTTTTCAAAGGAAATAGAAACAAAGAAAAACAAAACACGAATACAAAGATGATGAGCTTAGATAAAGCATTAACTAACTACGACAGTGTGCAAAATATTCACCACAAAGAGTACTAAAGAGGTACTCTATTCAGTCTGCCTAGTGTGAAGCCTTTGAGCCTTTTCCTTTGGTCTAATTACATTATAAGGGTTTGTATCATTAACAGATGGAGGTGGCTGCAAAAAAAATTAAGAAAACAACCACCATTAGAAATTCAAGTTCCACTGGAGTAAAAGATTGCAATGTTAAACAACATGGAAAGCAGAACAAAACAAATTAAACCACTGTGTTGCTGAAGGAAAACATGCAACAGTTGCTGGAGAACAGATAGTATGGAACACGATTATCTCAAAAACAATAACTTTGGTTTAATGGTGTCCATGGTCCTCACACAACTAACCCGCAAGCCCCGAAGAACGGGCTTCTGCCATCTTTCACACTGATGCACAGAAAAATGAAATCCTGACCAGAAAAGATTGCATGATAATTCATCTGTTAGAAACTAAAAGAAAAAAGAAAATATATAAACAATATCTAAACAATCGACCGTACGTTATGAAGTTAAGTTGGTTTTCGTTGTCATTTCTCAAAGTTTCAATCTATTGCACTGCTCGCAATCCTCCTTGAAACCCAAGCAGTTCTCTCTCAGGCCAAATTAAAACTCGCAAGAAAGTTTAATAGAAGATACTAATAAAGTATATTTTGATGTTGAGATTTAAGGAAAACATGCTTGTCATATTACCATTGGCCTCTTTGGAAAAAACAGTTTCTAAAAATAGCAGAAAACTTAGAGCATTATGTACAGCTGAGAAAGGCATAGGAAAGAGTGGCAAGCCTCTGAAATTCAAAGGTAGTAACTTCCATAGAATTATCCCTATCTTTGTGATTCAAGATGGTGAATTTACCCTTCGTAATGGAATGGGTGGAGAGTCCATTTACTAAGAGAAGTTTGCTGATGAAAATTTCGGCCGATAGAACCGATTAAGAACATAGAGACAAGTAAAATAGAGAAAGAGGGAAACTTTGGGCTGTAGTGACAGCAGTAGGACTAAACTAACATCCTAACACGTTTTTTATATAAGAGATATAATACCTCTAACATTGGAAGCCAGGGATCTGCTTCCATTTCAATTGAAATGATCATATGTTTATCTGCGTGAAATGAATGGTTTTAAGCTCTATACAAACTGAACGATAGTTAGTTGAAAGTAATGGTTTGCACCACAACTCAAACCTGACCTTGAGTTCAAAATGGCAAAAATTTTATCACTATGCCAGGTCTACCCTCCCCCCCACTGCATGCAGATCCCGTAGGTTATGCTTCCTGGTGTATGCCCACAGCTGCTCAATCTAGTTTGGAAAAGGATACATTAGTACTTATTACTCTGACCTTGGTTTCAGGGAGTGCCGGTTGTTCAACAACAGGCTCAAGTTTTAGTATTACGTCATTGCTATGGGAAAATCTTATTGGGATTTTTCGAAAAGATAAAATTGGACAATGCTAGTGACATGAAGGGAGTATTATTTATAATATGAAAGTTTTGTGAAAATACTTTTATAAGTGAAAACATACTCCGGAGTCTGCAAATAACAGGGCACGTGCATGATCAAACAAGTAAAACCTTACATGTGTATTTCACAACCTCATGTAACAATGTAAGCAAAACAAAACAAAAAACAAGTGATCTGATCCCTAATATAACAGAAATTACACACATATATGGAGTACTGAATAATAGAGTACTTTATATAATTAGCCCACAATACCGGCCTTATGAATGGCAGAATGTATGCGGGCTGACATGAATGGAAGCTAGCTAGGATGTATCGGATCGGAATGGCGACTGCAATTCGTTGGCTCAAAGGAAAGCATGTTCTCAGCCCGATCATAGCTGACCATCATATTCTGCTGTAGAAAGTTCCCCAAAACCCCAAACGACCCTCCACCTCCAGCGTCACCGATTGCCAAACAAGTAGTGTTACGACCGAAATCCTCTTCAATTATGAACATATTGTGTTCAGGGATGCTCAGATTTGCGCAGCTGCTGCCGTGGGAGCCCTGTAAATGGAGCGTCAGCGTAGGGAAACTGATCTCACTCTTCTTTGGCAGCGTGAAACAAGGTAGATCGGAACTATTGTCCGAAGAAAGATTCAGCTGCTTCCCCACCTCATCAACGACCGCATTGAAGGCTGCCGTCGGAAGGTAAGTGAGGCTGGTGGCGGTGTCCATAATCATCCCTCCACTCCCGTCCGGATTCAGCAGGAACGCCTCCTTGGGCACTGATGACAGCAGTGTCTTGCCCACCGAGATTCCTTCCACGGAAACATAGTAATATTGCGATTTGGCTGAGTTGTTTGATGAAGCTGGATTTTTTGCAAATGGCGTCGTAGTCACCTGATCTCCACCGCCTGCTGTGGATGATGCATCCCCCAGTCTAAGGGTGCCGGTTGAATTGCTTCCCAGGCCGGGCAAGCAGTAGGAGAATTGGGAGAGGTTGAGCTGGGAGACCAAAGACAGCCGCCCGCGGCTGAGACCCACCAAACCTGAGGTGTGCTGAAATCCAAACCCGACGCTATTGTTTTTGCCGCAGAGGAAGGTGACGTTGGGGAAAGAAACGTGGTTCTGAAATGTCAAAGTCTCTGAGGCGTCGAAGCCTTCGACCGTCGACCCATCGCCGTACTTGATGCGGCGGGAGCAACTGCCGCGTGTGTTATTTCGTCGACACACGGACTTTTGGAAAGAAGTGGATTTCTTGGGGTCGAAGATGGGAGTGTCTTGACCAAAACACCGCTCTTTCGAGCATGGCAGACACTGCGTCCACGTCACGTCACTGCCAATGTCCACGAGAGACCTCAATTTCACCGGCGGAGTCCCGATGTGTAGGTCCATCAAGAACCCCCCGTTATCGGGCGCGGGATGTACCCGGGAGATCGCCGCCTTCCCCTCTCGCTCCGGCCGCGATGCCGCCGCCGCCGCCGCAGTAGCAGCCCAGGCGCCGAACCTCTTGGCGTCGTGCTTTATGCCGATTCGCAAAAGCTCCAACCTGGACAAATTTTCGCCTGTACTGATGCCGTGATGTCTGCTCAGACTCATCCGAAACCCCACAGGCGTCGCGAAATTCAGCCTCAAGCTTGAAACCCAAAAACCGATGATCACTATCGACCAAACCTTCAAAGGAAACCAGCAACCCATTATTTTTTGTACTGCAATTCTTTGTAGTTAGTGAGTATCAAACCCCTTATCCATTCCGCCCCCTATATAGTCCACGGATAGGGCTTAAACGGAAGATTAAAGACATACTTAGCTTAATTGGTCAGCAAATACTTTACTCTTTGCTTAGAGCTTCTCATCTCGACCTAATTGTGGTTTGTCATTCTTGCCACACATGTATTCACACCAAAATTATCTTCGAAATAAAATAATACTACCTTTATTCTATTTTATGTTTTTCACTTTGATTTGGCATAATTATTAATTAATAAAGTAGTTGACAAAATAAAAGTTATGATTGAAATTTGAGTATAATAAAACAAAATGCTATATACCACATAATAGTGCCTTGACAATAATTGCATGGTGATTTTTGACAAAAAATCTGTTTTGCTGAAGGACAAAACAACAAAGCCAGTTCTTCTTCAGGCTTCCAGTAGCGGTAGTCTTTATCTCATTCGATTGTCTTCACCTCCTGTTATGGCTCTTACATCTAGCGCGACACCTGGATCATTATGGCATCGCCGTTTGGGACACTGTGGCACTAGAATTTTACATTGTCTTAGGAAGTCTGGTCAACTTAGTAGTCTTTCTTCTTTTAATAATGATTGTACGTCGTGTCGATTGGGAAAGTCTCACAGATTACCCTTTTAGGATATTTTTCATAATTCTAGTACACCATTATTTTTTGAATACATTCATATGTTTGGCAATATCCTGTGTTATATTCTTCTGGTTTCAAATATTATGTTTCTTTTATAGATGATTACTCCCGTTCTACCTCAATATATCTCATGTGTCGTAAAAGTGAAGTTTTTACTCATTTTCAATCAATCAAAAGACTGGTGGAAAATTTAATGGATTATAAAATCAAAATTTTTCAAAGTGACGAAGGGAGTGAGTTTGATAATTTTAATATGCGATCATCTTTTAATGCTCATGGCATCCTATTTCGAAAATCATGTCCGGACACCCCCGGAACAAATGGTTTAGCTGAACGCAAACACTGTCATCTTCTAGAATTAGCTAGAACCATGCTTATTGATGCTGTCTTACCAGTTATTTTTTGGGTTGAGGCCGTTTTAACTGCTACTTTTATTATTAATCGCTTACCCTCCACCAAATTTACTGGTGTTTCATCATACTAACAATTATTTCACCGGTCTCCTGACTTCTCTTTTATGCGTATGTTTGGATGTGCGTGTTACCCCAATTTTCATGCCACTTCAACAAACAAACTTTCTCCCCGTTCTTTACAATGTGTCTTTTTAGACAATGCGTCTGAACATAAGGGGTACAGGTGTCTTGATCCTAAAACGGGCAGAATTTATGTTAGTCGTCATGTTAAGTTTCATGAAAATGTTTTTCTGTATACTTAGTTAATCTCCCACATTTCTCCTGAGTCACCAACCTTGTCGCCCTGTCCATTGTCTTTTTCTATGTCGTCTCAGTTGACCTCACCGCCTACTGGACCGCCGCTGCCTCTGATGTTGTCTTCACCATCAACTGCTCCGTCCTCGCCGCAGGTCGGCTGCCAGCATCCGGGTAATTCCTCGGACCAGTCAACTGGCCCATCGGTAAACCACACCCCAGTCTTGCCGACAGGGGTGCTGAGTCTTCTCCGGTGTCGCCGGTCAGCTCGGCGTCTGCACATGAGGATGTCGTTGACACACAAGTTTTGCCAACTATTCGTCGAGAATAGTTATTAATAATGACCCTTCATTAATAACCCTTACTATTAGTCAATAATAGAACACCGTCATATACCGACTTGATAGTAACATTTAATCTCTTAACCCCTTGATGAAATAAATTGAGATTGATAACTTCAACACAATAGTTTCAGTTTAACCAACACAATTAATCCTTCTTAAGATTATTAATCATGACTATGCATTAATAACCCAAAGTTACTTACTTGTGAACCATAAATGATTAACCATCGGTTCATTGATCGTTTCTAGTAGTAATTAATGTCAAGATGTTACCTAATTTTCATTTAGCAACACTTCCCAACATTAATATAGAAATGAGATTAAGAGAAGAATTAATATTCAAGGGAAGAAGTAAGAAAATAACCTACTACTTTGACATTCAACAAACTTCAAGAGCAAAACCAAGAAATAGAAGTTTAGCTTCTCATTTGGATAATAAACAATGATAAAAAATATAAATAAAATACTATTATAAGTGGATGTGAAGTATATGGTAGAAGGGATATCAAAATGAGAAGAAAAAGCGGTGTATTTATAGGTGTTTCAGTGAGGTTGGGTCTGATACCCGACAGTGTATAGAGGATATCTGTCACGCCCCGTACCTACCCGGACACGTCAACAACCCGCCGTACAGTACAAATAGCCAACCGCAATCCAACAGAATCATACTATACAAGGCATCTGGAATATCATTCACACATAGTACGTCCATAAACAAACATAATGTAAAATATTCAGTTAAAGCAGCGGAAATAATATTACAAGTGTTTGATCAGTACTTTGAAACATTTAAAAAGTACTTTGAGATGGCCTCCCCCGTGAAGGGGAGATCAGTACTTTGAAACATTTAAAAAGTACAATGACAACTATACTGCATATAATTAATGTTTCAATCCTTAAGACCCTCAACATAGGGTGATATCATATTCTAGGAAATAACCCATGTTACCCCTTTCAAATCATTCATAAGTATATAAAGTCAAGTAGTCGGCTCATAGGCCCATTTGCATTTGTCACAAACCCTTTGTATCGTTCAACGATAATTTATTGCCCCATTTGTATTTAACAATACATTTCGTATCGCCTTGCGATAATTCATTACATTAATAATTCATACAATTCAACCCAAGGGGAACATCAATCATACATGACCTGTCACCGCTATCCAAGTCCCTGCAGGACACTCGGTCGGAGTCCAGCATCCCGCTCCTGGACTCATACCCTGTTTCCGTGGGAAGGTAAGGCCCATTCGGGGTCCTATCTTATGTGTTACCGCTGTCAGAGCCTCGTTAGGTCTCCGATTCGGATTTCACCCTTATACGTGATCACGCTGTAAGTCCATGCTATCCAACACGGTCTCTAGAGTCCGGCAGGGCCATGCTCCTTACATCTATTCTATTATGAGCCCAGGCAGTCCGGCACGATCCTTAGGCTCGCCCGGCCCATGTCTCCCACCTATCCATTAGCAAGTCCATGTGGTTGGGCATCTATCCTTAGACTAGAGTCGAGCCATGACCCTTGCTACCAATCAAGCAATCAATTACGGGTGTCCTAAAGACCACCTGGAAAATCACATCAACAATCCAATCCTAGGATTAATATACCATTTAAATCATCTAAGGCTATCCCAAGTGAATACCCTAGTCACAAAGCATCACGATCCTAAGTTTAGGATCAATTTTATTAAGGTTCATGCTACAACCTCAGCTAGTCACTTAGTACTACCCGAGTTGTTCTTAGTTCAATTTGTCTTTACCTTTCAAACGAACATGGCGGCCATGCCATGACTCGTTCTCGCTTCATTCTATATTGACTTTACTAACTATAAAGTGAATACGATTAAATAGTGATTAATAAATCATTTTATTAGTTCTTCACTAAATAAACTAGAACAACATTTCAAATATAGCAAGTAATCATGCTCCAATTACTCATAGTTCAATCAATCACGCATCAACTCTTCATATACAACAATATGATCAATTGACACTTTATTAGGCATATTAATCAATTAAAATCATGCTTTCATAAATTAGGTAATCTCATGAATTAACCCACTAGTTATAAACAATATAGTCATTCATCCTCACCTTATAATGTGTTTAACAAGCTACCTTTGTGAATCCCTTCGGTTATTCCCCGTTCTGGACCGATCAAAAATGAACCAGCTGGACAGAAGGTAAAAGCCGGGCGGATTTTGCAAAAGTTGGGCAGCTTTCGGGCCCTGCAGCACGAAAACAGCACCCTTCTATGGCGGTTTGCGTCGATTTCAACTCCTGTCGATTCAATGACTCTTCTAAGTTAAATACCAACACTTTATAACATTTTTCTACACTTTTACACATGTAGAACAACATCTATAACCCATCAAATGAGTCAAACGAATCCATATATACAAAGTATATAAAATGGAAGAAATGAAACCGGGAGTATAAAGTTGTTACCGCTAGTTCACGTTCTTCTCCTCCGGAATCCCTTTCTTTCTTCTCCTCTTGCTCCTAACTTGTATGAGGTCTTCTTGTTGACCTCTCCCCCTCTCTTATTCACGATCGGGAGTCTCCAAATATGAGGTGAGGAGTCTTCCTATTATTATCCTTTCTAATAATAGGAAGTTGGGCTTCGGGTCACTTGGGCTGGCCATTACATATTAATTCGGCCCACCGAGTTTTATACCTTGATTTGTATTACATTAGGCTTTTAAACATTAATAGGTTGGCCCGTAAATATATTGGGTAGTCCTCCCCAATAATCCAAGCCCGATACCCGCTATTTTCTATTATTAGTAAGTTTGGCCTCAATCACTTATTGAGTTACTTCTTCCCTATTATTTTGGCTCATAACTCTATATATTAATCCTTCCATTACTATTGACCCATTAAATAAATAATATAGGCCAAGAACATATTAGTTAGTCTCTTCCAATACTTCGGGGTCGATACACAATTTAATTAGTCACTATTAATTAAATCAATTAATCACTTCTCATATGATTAATATAGCTAGTGACTTGTTTCAAAATGAATATTATACTCATTAACTCTACTAATCATTATTGCATTGATTAGTATTTATAGTTCAATTAAGTTTTAATTTTAATGGATAAAAATCCAAGTTTAATTTTATGTGTTACCGCTGTTAGAGCCTCGTTAGGTCTCCGATTCGGATTCCACCCTTATACGTGATCACGTTGTAAGTCCATGCTATCCAATACGCTCTCTAGAGTCTGGCACGGCCATGGTCCTTACATCTATTCTATTATGAGCCCATACAGTCCGACACGATCCTTAGGCTTGCCCGACCCATGTCTCCCACCTATCCATTAGCAAGTTCATGTGGTTGGGCATATGTCCTTAGACTAGAGCCGAGCCATGACCCATGATACCAATCAAACAATCAATTACGGGTGTCCTAAAGACCACCCGGAAAATCACAT